TTCAGGTGTAGCCAATTCTGAACACTAAAAACAGACTCCAAAAATATGTGTTAATCTTGCCAAGAGATGGGAGAGTAAATTCTGCATCTCTGCGGTTATTTTTCATTCTTGTTTTTGTTATGTAGGTTTTGTGAGCTTAGGCAGAATTGTTTAGTGTTGTGAAGTTGTGAGGTGTTAAACCCAAGCAGTTTATCTGTACCAAGAGAGCAGATTTTGGTTTTGTTGTTCTTTTGAAATTTGGAAATTGTTGCTTGGCACCAACTGATAGTGTCCCATTGCAGAGAGAAAATAATTCTACCTTTTATATTTTGCAAGCCTGCATTGCCGCTCAAGAGCGTGAAAGCGTCATCTGTTCTCCCTTGCTCCCAGCTTTCTTTGCCATCTCACCCACAAAACTGATTGTATCTTCTGAGAGTTATGAAGTGTAAACACACTTCAGTTTTCCTATCTCAGGCCTACCTTCAAGTGGCACAATAATAAGGCACGAGACTGTGAGGTGGTAGCCTTGTATGAATCTCTCCCTTTTATTTGCTTAGGCAGCTTCCCCTTCCTTGTTTTGAGTGCGTGCATAATTTGAAGTGAATTGGTTTATGTGTTACTGGAGCGAATGTGCATCCTTCTTTTTATATGCAGTTTTGCTTATGGGGATGTGGTAAATGAGATGCACGAGGGAACAAGGTGTAAAGATTGCCTATGTCCTAGTGGAACACAGGAGCACAAAAACCAGTTAGGAGAGTAGTAATATCGCTGGCTGTGGGTTAAATAGCAGACAGGGAGGAAAAAGAGGGGAGGATACCAAAAAAGCTGATCTTGCTGAAGCTTTGGAATGCTGAATCCGGGGATGGGGGGATGGGAGTGGTTTGGGAATATTCTCAAGCCTTTGTTAAATGTTTTTGCAGTTGGGAACCATGTGAATCCCAGAGCCTCGAGTTGTGTTTATCCCTCTCACTTTTTACCTTCAACTTTTCCAACTGAGAATCGAGATGATTAAGTCCTCTTTTTTTTTTTTTTTTGTCCACTTATTGCTCTCTGCTTCATATAGTCAGCAAGAAGAGGCAGTAATATTCTGTGTTTCTAGAGATGGGTCTATGCCTCCTAAGTCTTCTGTGTCTTTATATCACAAAACAGTGTTTTCATTAGCTACCATGAAGACTCATCTGGACCCCATTTATAAAACTTCGATATTATGACTGCATGTGTTTAGGTGGGGAGTTATGGTTAGGGATACTCTAAATGTCTGGATTTTAAAAGCTCTCTTAGTTTGAAGCTGCGAGTTTGAATAAGGGAAAATTTCTGCAGGTAATCAGGCAGCTATTGGTAGTAAATTTATCCCAGCAAATGAAGCCCCAGAGATTTGAATTTGGGAGCTTCTGTAGAAGTGGGTTAAATGGGAGATTGGATTTAGGGCAAAAGAGGAGTAGCTGCTTTACAAACTTACCTCTGTAAATTCAATGAAGTATGCATACTTTTTTTCCTCTTGAATTGTATGTACTCAGTTCATGTGTAGGCTAAGCAGAGGAAATGGGAGTCATCCACAATGGTGTATCTGTTTGCATGTGAAAGCAAATTAAGGCTCAGTTTACACATGCTTTGCGATCATTGTGCTACGGTATGATTTAAATTCAGTGGTGGCGAAATGGATTCTCATGTGGTTGGTATGTCTGGTAAGATAAGGTTCAGTTAGAACAATGTTAGAAATCATATTAATGAAGCTGAAGGGTAGGATAATGGACTGATACTTTTTTAGATAGAAAACTTTCAGTTGTTAATTTTACTGAGGCTACAGAAGTTGGCTTTTCAAGCAAAAAGAAATGTTTGTGGGATTTCTGTAAAATACAAGTACTCTGGTATCAGTCACTATTATTTTGTTCTGAATTACATAGTTTAACACAAGGTAGTAAAACAGCTCTTAAAATTCCATAATTGCACAGCAAAGTGGCATCTGCTTTATCGAGTTTTCAGCAGCTCACACAGGCTGAGATTATCAATTTTTAGTCAACACGTTACATTCTCAGTTGGATAAAACATTTAAATTAAAACAAGCAAGCTTTATTGGCCACACTTTCAGTCTGTGTCTGTGTCCATTTACATACCTTATCCTACATGGCATGAGCCAGATCCAGAAAAGAAGGGTGTCTTTCTAAGTACAAGACACTGAGTTCTTACCAGACTCTGGAGTTGTTATTTTTAATCTTGCTGTTTTCCTTTCCAGGCTAGCCCTAGAGATGTGTGTTTTCTGCAATTTTACAAGGCTCTGTTTCTTCCTGTCACTCAGATGCTGCTAGACCCTATGCATCAGATGTCCTTTAGGCTCTCTAGGGAGTCACCTGGATGGCTGGTGACTTGGGCTGCATGCACAATACAGCTTTTTCATTTAGAATATGGGTGGTGGAAATCTTGCAAGTTAAAATGAGCCTTCTCCCCTGGAAGGCTGAATGGATTTGTTTCCCTTGTGCACTTGTTGGATATGAATCCTTACCAGGGGTTTATTCTGGATCTCTACGTCCTTCCTGTTAAGCCTATGCTGCCTTGCATAAGATAATTCAATTTTTCTTAGGTGAAGAGAGGAAAAGGAAGAGTAAATATGACTCTAACCTATTGGTTAAACTCTTATGAAAGAAGCAAGTCCCAGCATCTCCTAAAGGACAGTTAATGTGTTTTATATGGTATTATAGTAACACATAATAGAGACACCCACCAATAAACCTCAAAGAGCAAACAAGAGCTCTCTTCCTGTCATGAAACTGCCTGTTTAACTCTGCCATCTTCTCTGTACAGCCAGTAATAATTCTGTAATAATGTGTATTTGAAAACCTGTATATCTAATGTAAGTCATGTGTTCAGGATAATGAAATTCCAAGCTAAATATGGTTCTCTGATTTCTGTTGAAGTTGGCTGAGATGAGGCTTTCTGTAAATTACTTGTCTGGGCTTGCATGGCTTGCCTTGGGTAAATAGTGTGTTTTGTTATTTTATGCTGCGTTAGGTGCCTGTAAGGTTGTGCTCTGCTGGCTTTGATAGGGAGTTTGAAAAAGCCCCACTGCAGCACTAAGCAGCACAAACACAGATTCTTCAAGTTGTAATGCTTCGTTCATCTCTGCATCATGGTGCTACTGCATGTTAACTTACACTATTAGTACAAGTTTTAAATATCCATTTTAGTTATGGACTCTTAAAAGATGCTTTAAAAGTTTGTTTTTCTACTAAGGTATGAAATGACTTGAAGTGTTCTGGTAAGAGACTGTAATCTAAACACTGAAATGTTAAGAAGGATAACTGGTAGAATAATTTTTGCTACAACGTGCTTGGTGTTTCTAGAAGTTAAGTCAATTCTGAACTCTCTCTTCAGTTACCAAAAATTAAAAAAAAACCCACCAATCAAACAAAAAAAAACCCCAAAACAAAACAACAAGCTAAGGCCATTCAAAAATCCCAGGGAAAATTGTAAATATGGGAGGTTAGTTGTTTTGTTGTTGGTTTTAGCTTTTATTGATGTCATCTTTCAGTTCCTTCCTGGCCAGACAGGCTAGAAGTTTGTCCTCATTTTTGAAACTGTTGTATGAAAAGCTTAACTTTAACTTGATCCCAGAATTGGGACTTTGTGACCTTTGGAAGCCAGTTCTTAATTAGAAGTTTGGTTTGGACATGATCCAAGTGCCTTCTCTGAAGTTAAATCCTAATACGTTATATCAGAAGCGAGGAGAATTTGCTGGAGGAGAGGAGGCAGCATAAATTATTTGAGTAATTTCTCAAGCATTATAGATACAGTAGTCTCAATATTTACAATGTAATTGAATGTTTGCAGGTCTGCAGTGCATATCGTGTCTGTGCCCTGGAAAAGATTAAGTTTGGTTAAGAGGAGGTGCGGTGTTGGGGGGATGTGTAGGGGGTGTACATAGACGTGTATATACCAGCAGAGAACTGGAAGGTGGTTGCCAAAGAGAAGATACCCCAGCAGCTAACAGTTCCACATCTGTATGTATTTTCCCTAAACTGAGCAAAGTGAAGAAAAATCTAGAGGATTTACCCCAAATTTCAGGCTGTAGCTTCTTAATTGCCTTTAAACTTTTGTCCCTATGCTGAACAGGCTGATAGTCACTGATGCAGCCCCATGTGGAAGGGTTGTAAAATGCCTCCAGAAGATGAGAAGAATACCTTTGCTTGTGTTACTGGGATAAGTTGTGTGGTCTTGCTTAGGGAGAAAAATGTGACAAAAAAGGGGGTGGTCCCATCTCTGTCTCTACTTGTGAATGCTGGGAGAATAGGTTTGAACCTGGCTGGGCCTCATGTGGAGGTCTGTGAAAACATTGAGATAAGCAGTGATTGGGAATCTTGCTTTATGTTTCTTGGCTCATGAACTTACGCCTTGGCCTACAGCAGGGCGCCAACTCCTGCTAACAGGATGAGTCAAGAAAAAGTCAAATACCCTACAGAGTCAGATATCACGCCACCACATACAAACACTTGTTTCGTGTTGTAACTGCATATTTCTGTTTTACCACTTTACATTCATTTTTTGCAAAATTTAATGTCTCAAAGAACCAGGATGGAGCCACAATTTGCGTGTGATTCAGGAAGCCCAGGCTGCTGACTAGGTGGAAAAAAATAAATTTGTTTAAAATCTCATGTTATATTTTATTGTTCCCTTTCCATCCTCTTGCTTCAAAGTCAGTTTAGCAGACTTGAAAAACTACAGCTAATAAAACTACTGGTAAAGAAGAGATCTGTTTTCAGTTAAACATTTCTGTACTGTAGTTCCAGTATCATGCTTGGATTGATGCCACAGTTAAAGGGCTGGGAGCATTTTAAAAATACATCTCCAAAAGCTTCCCACTGAATTTGGTTTTTATTTCCCTTGTTAGGCAAGTAATTGCTAGATTGGCAGTAGATTTCTTTGTTGTAAAATCCAGAACGCTGAAAGTAGCCATTGTGAAAGACTGAAGCAACCCTCCACCCCACACCCCCCCAGTGAATTCTCTTCATGTTGCTGTAGGTTGGTTTGCAAATGTACAAACAGTATTGCTCATTTCTGAGAGTAATGTGGAATGTCCTTAGGGTTAATTGGGTTTTATGCTGCTAAGCTGTGCAACTGGGATGGGCTGGCGGGACCAGTTGGTTTCGTGGGTTGATTGGCGACTTTTTTACTTTTCCCAATTTTCTTAAAGAATCTTGTATTTGGTGGGACGATGGGGAACTGCACAACCCAAGTGAGCTGGTAGAAATGGGGGAAATACTGGCTTTTAAGGAGGAAGGTTTTGGAAACAGATAGTTCAAAATTAACATGAACTAGTCTTTAGTCTTGGTCTACTGCGTTGTATCTTTTCATGCCTTTTTCCTATTTGGACTTTTCCCTGCTTCTGTAGGAAGTCTGAAAGAGTAGTGCTGTTGACTGCATGTCTAACTTGTCCTCTGACCTAACAGGTTATGCTGCGGGTTTATTGTTCTCGCAGGATTTTTCACCAGGCGTTTTGTTTTCTGAATGTGGGAAGTTGGAACCTCCGACTTTCTTTTTGCAGCGTTCAGACTCATCTGCTGATGTATTCACCATTTTGTATTCTTACATTTTATGTTCCTTGCTGTAGTGATTTGGACTTGTCTTCACAGCAGTTACATGTGTTTTCTCTATATCATCACTTTTGTTCTCAAAAACATTAACTGTGGTTGGACCAGAGACAGTCTTCTGCAAATAAAGACACTTGAAGTTTTCTCTCACTTAGACAGTGAAGCATTGGTAATCCCAAAATGCGGAGACTCTTTTGTTTTGTTTTCTGCTTTTATGCACACTATGTGGTTGGTTGGTTGTTCACTTGTGCATAGGAAAGTTTTGGGAGATTGTTGCAAATGTCAAATACATACCCCTTCTGTGGAATCCTTTGCTCCAGTATGTTATTTAAAGAATCCACTGAGAGTAGGAACTGAGACTGCTGTATTGATTTCTCATCACATGCATTTAGCTGTTCTGGTTAATTAAATACCCTGTAGGGGCTTATTAATTGATTGTTAATCATATTTTGTGGATGTCAAAGATGAGCTGAATGAATTATATTTTTCCAGTTCCTACTTTGTCTCTGTGGATATTTTTCCTTTTTCATCATGAAGGGATGAGTCCTGGTGGTTGCTTTCTACATGCAAGAGGTGCACACCAAATGTTTTCACCAGTTTTGTTTGCAGGAGGGATTGGTTTTTGTCTTGGGTTTTGTTGGTTTTTTTAAATATTAGTTTTAACTTGGAAGTGATGATGAGAGAGAAGTTCAGAAGAGGTGGCTCTGTTGTGATAGCCAAGAGAGGCCAGGCAGACTGCAGAACCCTCAGGCTGCAGGGACAGAATGGGACTGCACAGGATCCACAGAATATTTGCTTTCAGACTCCATAGCCACAGACAGACATTTAAAAACATTTTGAAAAGATTTCAAAAAATTTCAAATGTTAATTTGTGTTTGATTTTTGCATTAGAACTGTTGCTCTTTTACTCTTCTGATATCCTGATTTAAACTTTCAGAGCCTTTGAGAAGGTACAAATCTTACCACAGTGACGTTTATAGTACTTCAAGTGAAAGTCCATCTGTTATTTCTTCGGAACCAGATTTCAGGCAAGGTAAGACCTGTGTTTTAAAAAAAAACAAACACCAAAACAAAACACAACAACAACCAAACAAACAAAAACCAAAAACCCCAAACAAACAAACAAAAAACGTAAAGACAAAAGTTCAAGATGAAAAATAGACCCCAAAATTATGAAGTTAAATCTTTAGTAGGAGGCTTGATAATTACCACTAATACGAAGTTGTAAGATGATCTCATGTAATTACAACTTTGTGTACAGTTCAGCAGTCTGTTCTGAAAGTAATTGGCAGTCTGTTCTGAAATTAGTTTGACATTTAGCACTCTGGAAGGGAACTTGGTAGGAAAGGCTGGAAATGGTTAACTTTTTACTGGAGTGCTTGTTTTAAATAACATGCTGTCTTCAGAGGTGCAAAAATGATCGAATTGTTAGTGTACAATAACAGTAAATTGCAAAAGCTTTATATGAGACATACATGGTTTAGTTATTTTTATATCAGTGGGTTTTACTATGAGGGTTAAATGGTTGATAATTTATAGGCCAAGGATTTCAGTGTCATGCAAAAGTAGTACATAGTACAGGCTGTTTGTATGATAAATTTAAGTAAGTTCTATGAAATCAATGGCTTGGAAAAGCAGGAGATGGTATGAAGGGTTGTTCGCTGATATATGGCAGGAAGGGTTTTCTTTACACAGTGGAAGCACAGCATGGAAGGAAATGCTTGGAGCAGTTTTTGAAAGAAGTGAAAAGAAGTCAAGAGTAGAGCACAGTTGACGAAACGATCAGCTTTGCAGAATCATTCTGAAGACAAACCATTTGATGAAAATGAAAGCAACAGTTAGGAAGCTAGAGTATAGCTGCACCATATGTATTTTCTACGCACAGAATTCCAACCCAGCCTCCCTGTACTTGCTGCTCTCTCAACCTTCATTGTCTTTGTCTGTCCTCCTACTTACTGAGCCAGAAGCCTAAGGAGCAGTAACAAGTAGCAAGGCTCCTGTAACCCTATTCCCTTCATTTTCTTGCCGTTTAGAGCAGGCTGTTTATGTGTTCCAGTCCAAAGCCAACAACTCCTAAGTTTATACAGGCAAGAGAGAGCTGCTTTCTGGCTACTAGTAGTAGTATTGCTGGACTCAGTGAAATGACTGTCAAAAAGAACTATTTCTAAATCAGCGTGGCTGTAATGTGTTCTGCAAGAGCTCTCCTGCTAGCTCTGTTTATTGAGGATACAGTAAGAGATGAAAGTGAAGTAGTTTGCAAAATCAAGCTCTAAGTGTAGCATCTCAGGTGCTGCATACCAGCAAAGGAGATAACTATTACAAATAGCAGGTTAGTATATTGCCAAAAGAAAAAAAAAAAAAATTTTTTTTTTTTTTTTTATTTTTATAAATTATGAGGAGGAGTCAGATTCCAGGGACAAAAATTAAACATAGGAGCTCAGCAATATGTGTACTGGTTTCTTAACTCCCTTCTTGTGAACTGGATGCATAATTACTTTACCTAGGTGCTCTATTTCTGTTCTGGAGTGGTTTTGTATGATGTCTCTGCCATGTGTGTGTCTCAACTCATGGCTGACAAAGAAATGTGTCACCTCGGAAAGGTGTCTATGCAATTGTGTGGGGTTTTTTTTATTGTGGTTTCTTTTAGGCCTTCCTTAGTATTCTTCTTCAAAGGACTTGTGTAGTGCAGCTGTCTTCGTTGGGGGAAACTATAAAATCTCTTTGAAAACTGAAATCAACTTCATAATGCTAGTTTGTCTAATACTGTAATGCCATTGTGCAGAACACATGAATCTGATTCCTTCTAAGTAATCTCGTATGACTGATAAGTCCTTGATTTTTAGACAGGATTACTCTGTGTGCTTTGTTGCCCAGTCAGGTATTAATTTGTCTTTTGGTTTGCTAGTGAGAAGAAAAGAAGGTTTCAAGAGAGATGATGCCAGTGGTGCTTTGCCGGGTGCTGATGATATCTCCACATCAAGTCAAGCTAATTCTCAGAGGGCAAGGTAAACCCTGTGAAAACAATATGTCTTGGAGTGCTTTGTCTTTATCAAAGGAAGTATTCTAAATCTGCAAGTGAATTTTTCACTTCCATCCTAGCTTCTGTTTAAGTTAAAAAATGGCATATTGTACTTGAAAGAAAATAGCATTTCAGAATTGCATATTGCAGTCTAAAGTAAAAGTCTCGTGATGCACTGTGGTGTAGAGGTAAGTATACCAGTTAGGAGTCCAAATTCAGTTCCCATATTTAATGGAGACTGGGTTGTATTCTATCAAGTTGCTATATCAGTCAGAAGGTCAGGGGCTATGTTCTGCTTGGAAATATTTAATAATTTTTATTTTAATTATATTTTTCTAAACCAAAGTTTTGAAAAGTATTGATATTAATACAGATTAATTTGCAATTTTTTCATTGAATAAGGAAATGATAGCATGCTTATTTCTTTGAAATAAGCCAAAAGCCATACACTTGGTTGGTTATTCTGGCAAACTCTTAGTTTGTGTCGTTGTGTTTGGATTTTTTTTTTTTTTTTAATACCTCAGTACTGATTAGGCAAGCCAATTCAGTAACAATTTATGCTTTTTGAAATTTGTTTTGCTGTGCTGTGTATTTGAATATTACATCTGTTTGGGTTTTATTTTTCTAATGCTGTTCATCAATATATCTTTAAAAAGTAGGTTCTGCTTTGTACATCACTTTAATACAGCATCTTTGTACAGCAGAAGCATCTCTTGCCATACCTGTTAGGTTTTGAGGGTGGTTCCATTCTAAATGTTTGAGAATTTTTATTGCCATTGACCTTTTGGATGGAAAATCTTCTAGTCTCTGCCAGACGCTGAATCACCTTGGAATATTTTATCAAAATGATTCAAATAATTTTTGTAGCAAGGGAAAAAGAAAAAAAAAAAGGACGTGTTTTCCCCCTCTTCCCTCACCACATTACAACAACAAAGCCTTCTCTGGACAGCTTTTTGCTTTGTTTGGGGTAGATCAGGAGGAAGATTGGTGCTGTGCTCAATATTTTAGGAAATTTATATGGTTTTGGCATAAGTTGGATGGGAATCCTGCTCTATCCTATTAAAGAAACTTAGAGGTGTCTGAAGATTGGAACTGTTCCAGGTCATGTGGCAAGACTGTCAAATGTGTCCTCTGTGTTCGTTTATCATATAGGGTGATGTGCAGTGAGTAGGGCTTAGTGCCATGCTTTGAACATGGAGATGAAAATAAATTAACATCTGCTTCTTGCACTATATTGAGTGCCTTAAATGGATTCTGAGTAGGGCAGGGTCTCAGATGAGCTGTATCTGAGTGCAGATGAACAAAAGAACAGTTACTTGGAAATCTTACAGCTTTCAGTGATCTGCTGAGCATCTGCACTGGTTTTCTTACTACTTTGCCTGAAAAATGCAAAGTCATTTAGAAATGTATATATTGGCATTTCTGGCAGGGAAGAAGTATTTAGGCATTGCTTAGCTGAGTCAACACTGCTTTGTTGGCAGGAATATGGTATCTATTCATGTTAACAGCGTATGTGTTAAACTGCAGTGTCCAAGCAGTCTTAGAAATCCAGTCTGTCTTGACGTAAGAGGATTTTGGCTAGTATGTGAAGCTTTAGGGCAAATTTTCAAGGACTCAGATTACGGGTTTATGTTCCATGTAACCCCGTTAAAGAGCTGTAAATTTCTGCTTTGCATTTTATGCTGTCTTAGCACCACACTAAAATGGCAAAGTAAACTATTACTACTGTGTGTGCAAAATGAGAGTATAGCTTTCTTAACTTACTTGCCATTGTTTTTTTTCTTTTGGTGAATACTGCTAAGTCAACCTTCATTCTTCTTTGACTTGAACCCAGGAAAGTTGCCAATTCAACACTGTAGCTATGCTTCAAAATAGAACAGCAGTAATTTGCGGATGCTGATAGAGAACTTTTGTTTCTATTTACAAAATGTTTCAGAAATGGAAAGTAGTATGTGGTATGTAGATGAGTCACATTATTGCAAATGAAATGGGCCTATTATGCGAGTGAAAATGCCATGGTAAAACAGTACATACTTTCTCATGGTTTGTTTTACATTATTTTACTTTGTATTGCTCTGTTAAGACTCGTACCTTTAATGGACGTAGTTTGTATATGCGTGAAATCTAGAAGGAAAATATTGTTCTGTAAGTGCAGCATAGACTTATCTGTTGTGCTTAGCAATGGAATGAAGTTTACATGTATGTAATATACAGTCTTACTTCAAGGCTTAGTATTTTTTTGAATCTCCTGCTTCTGCTTGGCCTCCTCTCTGTGCCTTTACTAAAAGATACCACTCTGCACTTGCACAAAAATGTCATGGTAGGGTACCACAGATAATTCTTTACTGATTTTCATAGTTGTTCCCTCATTTTCATAAGCTGAAAAAGCTTTTTTTTTAAATCTAGTTACCAGACTAGTAAGTATATCCAAGACGGAAAAATGACGCTGAACTCCTGAAAGCTAGTTTTACTAGCTTTTTTTGTAGACCTATTGAGAAACTGGAAAGCAGCCATGAGCAGAATTTGGTCGTAAAATAGTGTTTAGATAATATCTCCATTAATTATGTGAGCTGAATAGAAAACAGTGCGCGCTCTCGCTGTCTTTCTCCAACAGTTGTAAAACTTTTCAGTGCTAACAAGTGTAAAAAGGAATACTATCAAAGATGGTAGCTAGTTAAGCAGGGAGATTTCTAAGAAAGTAACTTAATATTTTTATCCAGAACATTGCCTGTTGCTGCTTTAAAATGTCCTGTGTTGCAGAAGACCATGGCTTTTATAACTTCAGAAACTTAAGCTCTCAAAGTAAAACTCTTGATAACAAGTAGTTCCAAGGAGCGGATTCTCAGAGTTTACATTTTTTTGGCTGGTCATTTGATTTCAGGGTTTGGGGAAGTACATGCAACTTAATCCATTACTTGAATTCCATCAGCACTTGGGAGCATATTTCAGGGTTTTTCCTCTGTGTTCAGAGATACCATCTGTACTTCAATACATATGAAATTTACTGTTCCTGTGGCATGTCCTTAGACAGTCTGCTTAATTATCTATGGAATTATCCTTGAAAACTGAGTTGTAAATCAAATAGGGAGATTTGGATTTGAGGGAGTCTGCCGCCAATATTAAAAAAAAAAACAGTGAAGCTGTGCAGAGTTATCAGCCAGCACAACTTGTGCTGTTTGGGTGGGCTGGCCTGCTCTTAAACTAGCAGAAGCCATAGATTTTTCCGTAGTACACTCAGAGTACACTCAAATCCTTCTTGTGGTCTGTGACTGTTGTTATCCTTTAAACTTCTTGGAATGCTTTCCTCATGGCAATGGATACTTGTGTCTGTGTTTCCTCTTTGCTTCTTGTATTCCTTATTTTTGTGTGTGTCCCCCCCCTTTTTTTTTCTTTTCTTTTTTTTTTTCTTTTTTCTTCTTCCTTTATTGTTTCTTCCTTTTTCTCTCTAGGAGCGGCAGTTGACACGGATCTCTTCCTTCTGTTGCCTTTTCCTTCCACTAGATTTCATTTCCATATCCTTCCTACCTTACCAAAAGGCATCCGTCTTTCTCAATCTATTCCTGACCTTTCCACTGCACTAATCATTAGAGAATGCCTACCTGCTTCCCTTCTTCCAACTTCCTTCTCTGATCCAATACCTGCTAATTTCTTGGTAAGTACACTAGGTGAGGAGTTAACTTGCTTCCCTCTTTTATAGGAGTCAGCCTTCCAGGTGACTGCTCACCTACCGTCTTCAGGTTAATAAGTAACTGTGAGATTCTGGTTTGCAGTCAGACATTGATGAAAATAGAGAGTACCACCAAAGTACTTGTCTGATGAAGTACCATAGGAAACACACTTTTATGATGTTATCTGTTAGGAATGTAATTTGGATTTTTTTTTGTTGTTGGACTAATAATACTTGCATATTCTGAACTTCATGGAAGAGCTCTATCTGTATCTGTCAACAGTATCTCCTCTTCTGTAGAATGAGAGATGCATCGCTTGTCTTGGAACCTAAAGAGTGAATCATGCTGGTACCCTCCATAGAAAATTGATAGTCTGACTAAGCCAAAGTTAGTTTTACTTACCCAGGATGCTGAAGTGTGCTGATTTCTGGTTGGTGATAATGGTTATATACTAAGTTAGGAAAATTTTTAAACCGTTGGGTTTTTAAGCTTCCTCCTCGGACACCCCACACCCACCCCAATTTTCAGAGAAACTAATACATGTCAACGAAGATGATAAACCAGTATAATGATAATCCTTTACACAGTAACTTATGATTGCTTCTATTGCATAGAGCTGTATGTTATTAAAAAGGCAAAATTTTTTTCTGCAGTAGGGGTTTTCACATTAGCAAGTGTTTTCAGATACAGCCAGTTGCAACATGTCTACCTTTTTCATATCATCTTTGATAATTCATAGATATTTATGTTCAGAAAGTGTTTGTTTTTGTTTTATTTCAGAGCCCATCCTTAGAACTTGATCTTAAGGGTGCTCGTGGGTGTATTTAACTTAGTTCATTGTGAATATTCCCACATATGTCGATCTTAATAAGCTTCCTCTTGGTGAAAAGCTGAGCATGTGCACAAGTCTTTGCAGGTCAGAGGTCTTTTCTCATTACTTTGTCCTTTTAGGTGCACAGTGTGAAGTCTGTTGCAGAAAGGAACAGAGGAGGGAGAAGGGAAGCATGGTATGAAAGCCCTGCACAATGGAAAGGATAATGGGCTTACATTAATACATTTTTCTGTAACTACCCTATATCTTCACTGAAATTCCATTTGAGGAACTTCAGTGTTGTTTTGCCAGTTTGTAGCGCATTAGTGGCGTTTTATGGTTTGGACTCTCATGATAACAAAACTCTTATTTTAATGCTGGTTTTGTATGCTAACTAATGAAACTTTAGTATTAAAAAAATTAAGAGAATGCAGTGCACTGTTCACATTATTGGCATTCATTAGAAACTTTGCTGTAAAAAGATGAAAAAAAAGATTTTAAATCATGTCCACCAATTAGTATAGACAACTGTACTGTCTGGACAGGTGCATTTTCTCTTAGTTTATTAACTGATTTGTCATTCACCAAACATATCTTTAGGTTCTTTTAAAAAGTAGGTATATAAATTTAATCTCTTTAAAAGTCTGTAGATTACCTTTTACTACAAAGGGCTGTATGTCAGTGTCAGTGCAGGACTTACTCTACGTTTATCTGTATTCCTAAACTTCAGTGCAATGATATGCAGGCTTCAAAACACTTTCATTGCTCTTTCATGTTTTTCATTACTCTAGTGTACCATCTAAACTAACACTTAGCTTAGAATTTCTAAAAGTGTATTTTGGTGGATGAAAGTCTTGTTAGTTTTCCCTGTCCATTTGTGTTTAAAAATTTGCCTCTGTATAGTTAGGTTAACTAACAGAGGGAGAACATTGTTTTTCCTTGATTTAGGATTTCTAAAGAAGACTTGATTGGTTTATATTTAGTTTGGGGTTTAAAGTAAGCATGGGACAGGGGAAGGGAAGTGGAAGTTGGGTTTATTTTTCTTGGATTTCTCCTTTCTTCACATTTCCTAACCTCCTGATTTTCAAGTAAAAAATGGCTTTTGTTCACCCAAAAGAGGACATAGATTTCTTTCGTTCCATGGAGAATAAAATTGGTAGGACATTTGGGATCCATGCTTGCTGAGAATAGAACTGGAGCATAGGTTGCTGTGTTTTTCAGAAATACTGATGGGGTTTTTTGTTTGTTTTTCTCTTTTTGTCCTTCAGATTATTAATTTAGACTAATTTTTTTTTTTGGTGGCTGTGTATCAACCAAGCCATTCTTAGGAATTTAAAAGAAAAGGCATTTTTTTCAGCAAAATAGGATGATGAAAGCATTAGAGTATGATATTTAGAATAATTTAGTATATAGGATGTTGATACATATAAATATTTATACAAATATTTCAAGCTATACTACTACTCAGGAAAAATCAGGGAATAAATAACAGTGCTGTGCAAAGAGTTCGTAAAGAATTGCTATGGAGAAAGTGATTGGAGCAATATTTACTCATATAAAGTATGCTATTATTTTCATTTTTTCTTTAACAACATGTTTTCGACCATGCCTTTTTCACAGTCCCTGTTTGAACAGAGAAGTTAAGATATTTTCAAAGTATTAATATTTTTCTTCCTCCTGTGTGTTCCCTGGTTTTGTACTGATTCACTGGGTTTGTAGTGTCAACTATTTTTTAGACTGCAGCTGAGCCTTTATTGTCATATGAATAAATGACAGGCAGCCGTAGAAACTTGGTATGTTTGCTCATTTTCTATATTGATGGATTGCTGTAGAGTAGCACTCTCCTGGCACTGAATAAACGTTGTGTTTAACATAGTATTTGATAACTAGTTTTTGTGTTCTGGGTTTCCACTTAGGTAAGTGATTAAAGCAGCAGAATGTCTTAGGCATACCTACTAATGCTTTCATCCCCTCTGACTTTACCATAGGCAACATGAAGCACCATTTGAAGGCAATCTAATAAGTCAAGAAGTGATGGTAAAGCATCAGGAAGAAGAAATGATGCAACTGCAAGCTAGAATGGCTCTCAGGCAGTCCCGACCTAACCTCTACTCAGGAGATGCAATTAGGTCCTCAATGCTTGACATCACCAGAGATCCACTGAGAGAAATAGCCCTGGAAACAGCTATGACACAAAGAAAACTGAGGGTAATGCCCTGATCTCAGGTGAACTCTTATTTTCATTGAAACAGAGCAGTGTCTTGACTGAAACTCTAATATGTGGGATTCATAAACTGGGTCCTGTAATAAATAGTCATGAATAGATTAAATACGAGATGTTTGGTATTGCCCTGATAGGAAAGACCTACTCTCACAGGGTAAACTTCTAAAGTTTTCTGGTATTAGTGGGTATGTAGCCTGAAGCAGTATCAAGAGACGCTAAAACAGACAGCAAGCCTTGACTAAAGATTGCATCGATTAAACAATATAACGTCCTAACAAAAGTAAGGTGTGGTTTTCTCCTGTATTCTGTGGTGTTTTCAACCACTTTGATTTGCATTTATTTCTCTTAGTGCAATGTGAATGTGTCCTACCAGCATCAAAGGTTATTAAATGAACAAGTTGGGAAGGTAAAGAAAGGCAGAGAGGATTCATTTGGCCCTTGGGTTCACTCTGAATCACTGTGCAAACTCCCCTTTCCTTTTCCAGCTGTCTTGGTATGTGGATGAAATGTAAGATTACAGAGAAAGAGGGAGACAAAGGCATAGGTAAATAGAGTGGCTGATGTTTGGAAGAGGTGATGGCTTGATGCCCTCTGCTGCTGCTTTCAGTGAATTGGATTTTTATTTTTTTTTTTAAGGATGGGAAAACTTGAAACAAGACTCAGGTGAATTTGCTGTCCTAATCCAGGGTAGTAGTTCCTGTATCTGTCTCCAGTCCGTATCACTTTGACCAGTTAGTTCATGTAGGCTTTAACTAACTAGGTTGGGTCCTCCCCCTCCCCCCCGCCCCCCCAGGCCCTTAAGAGGTTTACATGCAGATGTTTTACATACAGTACACAGTAGGTAGTAGGTAGTAGCCAATGAAGGTTTTTTACCTCAAAAGGTGAATCTTGGGCCGCTTTTTTAATGTGATATTGAAGTGGGTATTGTGCAGAGGACTTCCTTTAACAGTTTGGACAGGTAACCGCCTATGATTTACAGGGTAGAATTAGTAGAACATTTATTTGTCTACAGGCAGACAGAAATTGGCCAGGATCTCTACTTGAACCCAGCAGATAGAATTAGGCTGAAACATTTCAGTCTTCAGGAGATGAGACTCAGAGATTTGTGTGTCACAGGCAGAGATTTGTCAAGGCGGAATTGCCACCAATGCAGAAAACCTTAGTAATGTCAGGCAGTTGCTTACTGAGATAAGCCCAGATGGTCTCAATATGCAACCCACACCCTGTATTTTAAAGGAAGACAAATAATATTACAGTGTTGGCTTTTTGCCCAGCAAAGGAAGGAAAATATACAGAGTAATAATGTCACCGACACTGTAGCTTGCCACTGGTATCTGGAACGCATGCTGGTAAAATCAGGTTCTTTAGACTTACCAGCTCATGGGAGGAATTCAGTACGGTTTTCTAGTTTGGGCCCTTGGTTCCTCATTGGCATTTGCAGGGCAGGAGTTAACTGTGCCTCAGTCTGTTGTTCCAGCAACATAGTGTTCATTCATACTCTTGTGATTTGCAGAATTTCTTTGGCCCTGAATTTGTGAAAATGACGATTGAGCCATTCATCTCCTTGGATCTACCGAAGTCTATCTTGGTAAGTAAGGGGCCATTCAGCAATCAGTGGCAGAGGGAGTATGTTAAACCAACAAGTGCGCTTTTTGTCACAAGTGTGAATGTTGGGATATTTTATTTCACAAAATGCAGACTAAGAAAGGCAAGAATGATGATACCAGGCGAAAAGTAAATGTGATGCTTCTAAGTGGGCAGAAGCTGGAGCTGACCTGTGATACCAAAACAATATGTAAAGATGTCTTTGATATGGTTGTTGCCCATATTGGCTTGGTGGAGCATCACTTGTTTGGATTGGCTACTTTAAGAGGTAAGAGTAATGATTTGATATGGTTGACAGGTACAGAATAAGAAGAATTAGCTACATGGTGTTGAGAAAAGATAAGCAGAGATTGCCTGGCATCTACAAAGCATTTACTTTGAATTACATTCTCTTGTATTGAGGCAAAATGCATTCCTCGGTGAAGAACAACTTCGCACAATAAAATTCTACGTTTGCCTGAGTAATGGCAGCTCATCTTGGGCAGCCTTTTCCCTTTGCTTGACGAGTTTTCTTCTCTGCTGTTTGTTGCCTTCACTCTGAGTAGTGTCCCTCAGAGGACATGAAAGGGCTTTGGGTTCTGTTAATATGCTCTAGGTAATGTTGCAGCCTCTTGTGAAGGCAGACCCGTTGGGATGCATAGGAGGGCCCCTTGTATAGAGGGAGTTGCCTTAAGAAAAAAGAATTTGCTCCTGAGCTGTTAATTTTTCGTTATTAGAACAGACCAGAAGTTGGACTTTTTTTTTCCCCCACCACTGGGTAGAAGGTCATTGTGGCAGAACTAACGTGTTCGGATCCAAGTTTCCTGTCAGCATATCTTGCCAGGCTGTTGCAGAACTGTAGCACTCAGAATATTGGCATGAGATAGAAGTCTGTAGCAGCCCAAGAGCTTCCTTTATCTATGGCAGGCTCCCGCGCTCTTGGCAATTTAGAAAGCCTTGAAAACATTTTGCAGAAATGTAAATGGGACAGAAGTAGTAAGGGAGGGAAGGAATGACAGATTATGGATTTCCTATGGGATAAGAAATTTGAAATTTTAAAGAAACCCTAGCTCCTATTTTGTAGCTGTCATAGAAGGTAACTTTTTTCTTTTTTTTTTTTTTTTTTTTTTTTGCTGGTGTCTTCAGGATAACTATAAAATTATTTCTTCTGCCCTTATTCAGTGATCCCTTTAATGGCTATTGTGCTTATAAGCCATTGTTAATTAGCAGAAAACCTTCTGTTCAAAACCAGATTTCAGAATTGTAAATCTGGTCTTGATCCTCCAGCTGGAGAAAATATTTGGTTTTAATGTTTTTACCCATGTGCTTCCCTTTGACGTTCATGGCAGACAATGAATTTTTCTTCGTTGATCCTGACATAAAGCTAAATAAAGTAGCTCCAGAAGGATGGAAGGAAGAACCAAAGAAAAAGAACAAGCCCCCGGTCAACTTCACTCTGTTTTTTCGCGTAAAGTTTTTTGTGGATGATGTCAGTCTTATACAGTGAGTGTATGAAATTTTTTTTTTTAATCCCTTAAGCCCTAGATTTATGGACAGAAATTGGATATTAATCAAATACTGGAAATTTGCTATGCCAGGAAGAGTACCAAAGAAGATGTGGGGTTTTTTGTGGTTTTTGCTTTGTTTTCCTGTTCTAGGCATACGCTGACTTGTCACCAGTATTATCTACAGTTGCGGAAGGACATCCTGGAAGACAGGATGCACTGTGATGATGAGACAGCCTTATTATTAGCATCCCTAGCTCTCCAAGCTGAGTATGGAGATTACCAGGCAGAGGTACAACGTCAATTTCACCTTTGAGAAACTGTGTTTTTGCTGCTTAATTAAAGCATGGGCTGTGAGCTGCCACACATGCTTCACAGCTCTGCCCTGGACTGGAAGCTCAGTTGATATGCTGTTGGCAATTTTTGCTGTGGGCAAGTTTTCTTTTAGTCTAACACAGGGCTGTTGCAGAATCTAGTTCAACATCTGGGTGTTGAATACTCTCTTTTCAGTGGAAGTGGAGTCAGGCTTGAATAGGAAGAATTCATATGTGAAATGAAGCTCTGGGTCAGGGTTGAAATTCTGAATCCCTTCCCTTACTCAGCTGTAATGTACGATTCTCTGTAAAATGAATGTTTATGCTTCATTCGTGCTCATAGAGTAGTATATGGAGATGCCATCACAAAAATGTTTTGTGTTGTAGGTGCATGGCATGTCATATTTCAGACTAGAACACTATGTCCCGGCTAGAGTAATGGAGAAACTAGATCTGTCCTACATCAAGGAAGAGCTGCCAAAATTGCACAGCACTTACGTGGGTGCATCTGAAAAAGAGACAGAGTTAGAATTTTTGAAGGTAAGTGGCCACCAGTTTGCTTCCTTAATCTGTGACTTAAGAAATACCTTGTGGGAATATGGGTGCATGGACTTCAAGCGAAAGCACAGGAAAACAGCTCAGGTTCTGAATAACACTGAAAGGAAGAAAGCTGAAATGATCTTCTCAAAAGACACATCATTACAAGTGAAAAGAAATCGTAATAGATGGGAAGGAAGTCCTTTCACTTTTTTTCCCAATCAGTAGTCTTGCTGCTTTAGCTCAAATTAGTTAAAAGCAACTATTGATCCTTGTGTTTAGTCTAAAGGAAGCTATGATTATGAGGCAGCAAGCCCTGCATTCTCTATGTCCTTTGTTTTTTCTGTTGAGAAAAAATATATTTAAATTATTAAAAGTTTTGTTACAGCTAATACTGTTTATGGTGCTTGGTATGAAGCAAGCCAGAAGCATTACCAAGCAGACTTCTTTGTGCAGATACTATGTAAGACAATAGGAAAACAATAATCACAGATATATTTGGTTTATTCTAAAAGGACCCAGTAAGAAATGTAATTATGGGGTTTGCTGCTATTGCTCATGAGGTGATGATCAGGTCCTGCCTTGATACAATGGCTGCAAACGAGTTCAGGGCGTGATTGTTTGCTGCTGAGACACTGGATAACCATTCCATTGTAATTCCACAGTCACACTGTAGTTCCACAGTCTTTTCCAGAAGGTGATGGAAGAGGCACTCAGCTGACTTTGCCCCTTCTAAAGCTGTTGCTCGCTTGGCAGAAGTGTTCTTGTAACTTAACCACAGAGAACAGGAGTAGGGGACTTGATCCTAGCTAAACCTAGTCTGACTGGGGGTGGGGTGGGGAGAGCAGTTAAATTCCCTCGTTTGATTCATTACATCAATCTCTTATGCCAGTACTGAAGAGACAAAAAAAAATGCAAAGTGAGTGAAACTGTGTCTTTTGGCAGTTATGATGCCTTAATGTGGTCACAGAATTGCAGTGTTAATCTAATTCTGTGTTTAAGAAATGTGTCGATAATAAGTGCATCTGGCTAGTTACAGTTTGTTGCCAACAATTGGTTTGTGCAAGTTTGACTTACTCACAGGCGTTCTTGATTCATGCTTTCGTTGTTTGATTCTAATAAATGCTAGGTTCATCTGCTGTAGTGTTTGGCAGGTCAAGAGATATTACCAAGACTTATAACCCTCTAGAGCAGCTGATGTGTCTCTGTTGTAACATCTGTAAACTGTATAAGTGGAATCACGAGGCAGAAAGGAATCTTTTTTTCTAAAATCCATATATACATATATATATGCATATGTTAAAATATTTATATAGAGGTATAACATTTATATAGAGGTATAAAAAAATTGTAATAGCCTTAACATCATATTCTTAGAAGTTTCATTGCATTGATCTGTACAGTTGTGTCAGAGGCTCACAGAATATGGGGTTCATCTTCATCATGTGTTGCCTGAGAAGAAATCCCAAACAGGTATCCTTCTGGGAGTGTGCTCCAAAGGAGTTGTTATTTTTGAAGTTCATAATGGTGCCCGCACACCTGTACTACGCTTCCCATGGAGAGAGACAAAGAAAATATCCTTTAGTGTAAGTCAGTCTCTTCCTCTATCTGTGTGTATATGTCTATATTGGTATCTCCTGATACTGGTTTTGTGTGTTTGTTATTTTTGCAAATTAAGCTACTGTTTTACAGTGTAATCTGACTACATTTTATGTGGCTGAGCTGTGTTGTGTTATGGGATTGAAATAGGAGTTTTGATCTTTTAAAGATGATTTTTTTTGTTTTTTTGGTTTTTTTTTGTTTTTTCTTTTTATTAGCTTGTATTCTATGCTGCTGAGGTTACAACCTCGGAAGAGAGTTTAGTGCCTGTGTTTTGGCAAATCTGTATTGATGTGAAACATGGCTTCCATGCCTTCTAAGGAAAGACCTATTACGAAGATAGATCAAGGGCTTCTCTTAGCATGGGGAGAAGCTCTGCCCATTTACTGCATTTCTGGGCAATCTGCCCATGCTGCTGTATGGGACATGGGTAGTGAAGGAGCACCAGAGTGAGAATCCTGCATTAGAGGACTGGGTACTGGCAAATGCCAGTACTCAGTGTAACTAGGAGATGCACCTATGTTGCTTTTAAGTTGTTGTATTTCCAAGAGTAGTTAAGTTAAACAATAATGGATGACAGGGGCTGACACTTGATCTGAACAATACCGCCAACTTTAATGGGTACACTGTAATCTGGTGGTCATGTGTCAGTTTTTAATGAGGTGTGGAGCTTCAAATACTTACCTTTATACAGGTATTGAAAACAGTACTTCTAACTCTGGCTTAGAATACCTTCAATACCTTATTGAAAAGCTACAGCCTGTTTCATCTGTGATATGATTTTAACTAGAATTGGTAAATTGAAGTTTAAAAATTACTAAAAAGATAAATTTAGGACCTGGAACATTAAGTGGTCTCATTCTTTTTCCCTTGAGTGGCAGCAGCCCTTGTGACTTCCTCAGAGGCTTTTGAAAACCCCATCCTGCAAAATGTAATAGTACTGGTTGTCATTAGTCAGCACTGACAGTAACAGAGATGGATTAAATAATAATAAAGTATCATCCTAGCTAGCCCAGAAGTAGCTTTAAAGTGCTACTTTGTAAATCTCAAATTTTTCAACCCCTATTTTAACAGAAATCTCTCCCATCAGTGCATTTTGCTTCAGGAAAGTTTGAATGCTGTAACTGCACACATACAAATACAAAATTCTTTGTAGGCTTAAAGCAATAATTGTCTTCAACTTTTTTCTTTCTCCATTGTGTAGAAGAAGAAAATAACTTTGCAGAACATGTCAGATGGTATCAAGCATGCATTTCAGACTGACAACAGTAAGACTTGCCAGTACCTTTTGCATTTCTGCTCTTCTCAGCATAAGTTCCAACTACAGATGAGAACCAGGCAGAGCAACCAAGACACTCAGGACATTGGTAAGGACTGTGATGCTGTGTTGGTTTTTAATAACAATCTACGTGTATTTTTGTAAGGAGAAAAACTGAACTTGAGCTTCAGTAATTCTGCTGAGTGCTACATATGTGTACATTTGGAGGGTGTTTATACTATTAAGAAAATCTACTAGCTAAGTTTGCTTAGGTTTTGTTTAAGGGGAAAAAAAAAAAGAGTTGGCAGATCACACAGAGCTGGCACACAGGAGCTCCTCTAAAATAAAAGGAATCTAAAAATAGGTCACTAATAGTACTTTCCCATTTGATTAATGGCTTCTGGCTTTTTTCAGAAATAACTTGAAGATATTTCAATAATAGGATTTTTACCTTTTGCTTAATGTGAAATGAATTGGTTTGATAATGTGGAATTACAGATGATCATGCAAGGGCAAATACAATAGGGAGCATTTCATGATGGTGCATCTGTAAGCTGTGGGTGTAGCTGTCTTTATTCCACTTAATGTTTGGTGGACCTAGTAAGGAACAACACCGATGCTAGTCAATTTTCTTCAGAAATGCCATCTAATTTGTGTGTATAATAGAAAATGTAAAGGTGTTCTTTTTAGGTAGAAAATATAATTGGAGAGTGCAATCATTGAAAAAACCCTCTGTACTAATTTCTTGACTACTTGGAACAGAGCTCGCTTGGCTGCTGGCTTCAGCGCAGCCTGGAAGTGCTATTTTGGTCAGTCTGCCTGCTCAATTCTTTCTTTGTTCCCTGTTTTTATCTGTCTTCATTCCAGTTGCTGTTAATCCAGACTTCCACTAGCATAGCTGGGATGGAGTTTGACCCCATTGCTGTGGAGATTGTGATCTCTAATTTAAAAAAAATTAACTAGCAATTTTATGGTACATAAGAAAGGAGATAAGAACATGAAGAATGATGGTTTCTTTTTTGCACAATTTCTGTGACCATGCAGTGAACAGAACCAAGCACTGAGTTTTAAGATGGATGTTTGGATTCCTGAAAGGGCATATAGAAAACCACAAAGATGAAGTGAGGGTTAAGTCAGCCTTACAAATAACAGGTTTTGAGCACATGAGAATTTTCAGTTAAGGGATTGGCAGAAGGTGCGAAAGGCCTAATGTCTATGTAGATAATGATGTGAAAGTATTAATCTGAAATCCATAGGGAAATCCTGTTTGGTGTTTGCAGAGGGTAAGACGTCAAAAGAAGAGATCTTAGAGTATTTTGTTAAGGTACTCTTCCCCAGGATGGGAACACGACAAGAGCAAGTGTCATTAATAACTTCTGTCAGAGTCAGGAAACTGAGATTTGTGCATCTCTGGTCTGATCGAGCAAAACCATTCTTATGTAGCTCATCTAGTCTGTCTGGTGGCTATGGCTAGAGGAGGTATTTGGTGTGGGTAAGGAAGTGGTAGCTGTATACTAATTCACCTTTAAAAAGGACAAAAAATACCTTGCACAACTAAATCTTCTCAATCTGTATGCCTATTATAGAAAAAGCATGAGTTACTGTTGCAATTAATTCCTGCCCTAGGTATTGGAGGAAGGAATGTCTTTTGGAATGGCAGTGCTGAGGTTGCATTTGCCAAATGCACTCTTTAATGGTGAATACTTCGGCGTTTAGTAAAGCTAATGGGTGACGTGTACCAAAAAGTAGCATTTTCCTTTTGAGTTACAGTGCAGCTTCCTAAAGCAGTTTATTTCCTAGGTGTAAGTAGTGTTTAAAAAAACACTAGTTAACCCTAAATCAGAAATATATGCTCAGTTGAGGGTTGCTTTTCCTCAGACTTCCCTGTGAACTGACTCCAAGACATCAGTGAAGTTTATGAAGGGTTCAGGTGGCCTGATTTCCTTTAAAGGCTCTAACCAGCAAACATGTTGCCACAGCTAATCAAGTTTCTGTGCGAGAGCCAAGCCACAGGAACTTAACTGCTAACCTTAGGAGGCAGTTAGGCTAATAGAAATGAGCCCTGCTCAGCTTTGCTCTGAATTAAGGGGGGGTTAGGCTAAGTTGTATTGTCTTGCATTTGCTTTCAGCTAAGAACATCCACCCAGACAGTTCCCACGACTCAGCTGACAATAATTTAATTACAATCCAAAACCTGTTTCTCTCTGCTGCTTAAGGGTCAAAAAGTCTGGCAATCCGCAGTCAACACTTCTTCTGTACTGTGCTAAAAGATTTAGGATGTTTCTGGCAAGGGAAGTCCCCAAGTGCACCTGAATGCTCTTTAACCAGGTAGAGATGCTGCCAAGCCCCCACAACTTTTCAGCTGTACTATAAGCGTGTCAGGGACTCATGCGAAGAAAACTAAGCAATGGATGGATGGAAGTTTGGTAGGATCTGATAGTGTAGAGGTGGGGAAGCCCTATTTGTTTAAATTCTGGAAAAGACTTGTATGGGCAGGTTAAAGGAAGTGTAGTCTGCCAGGTCACTTGGATTGAGGGTATTATTTGCTTTGCAGAAAGAGATGATGTGCCTGTATATAAAGCACAGCAGTTTAACAGGGAATATGAGTCTTCATAGAATCATAGAATC